CAGGACATTAACACTGCACTGAGAGAGAGGGGTTAATACAGTCCAGACACACTGACTGGACACTCCAGTACAATAACAATTCTCTATGACATTAGTTAACAATCACGCACATTGAAAGAACTGTGAAAAACATTAATATAGTAGCCCGGAGAGCCCAGTAATGAACAGACATGAATGCGCACGACAGTCCATCAGTGGCAGTTCAGTCAAGTGCACAAGAACGACTCATCTGCGCCAGTGTTACTCACTCCGGTATTACTGAAGGCGGTCAGGGAGGAAAACGCAGTATATTGCGTGTATTCGCTTACAAGTACTAACGATGCAGGGCTTAGAGCAGCGGGCAGTCAATCTTTAAAATGTCAGCTCCCAAATGAAACAGAATTATCCGACCTAAGGTACAGCAGTTAGCTACAAACACGGGTACGAGTCACTCGTCGGGCTACCCCTGTCTGGCGATGACAACTGGACAAGAGTGGGGTCGCGCCGTTGAGGATGGGGGACATGGACCGGTCATGCCGGGTCACGATGGCGGCTGACTGGAGGTGCGCTCCGGGTTATTTGAGGAGGAAGATGATGAGGAGGAGTAGGAGGAGGATGGGGGGGCAGAGTGTCTCCGGAGTTAGTGCCTCTGTCCCGGAGAAACCCCGGAAACACAGAACTACGGCACCTCGCTCATTACAACACCTCCCCCACCCAGTCCCAGACAGTTTTGGCCACAGCACGCACAGAAAGTGCACGCCGAAGCGCTGCGGCTATATCTGGACCGCCTGGCTCCGCTCCCCGATACAAACACGAACTCCATCGCCCCTCGGCACTACACACGCGTCCCCCCCTACCACCACCCAGCACCATGGCGCTCACCCACCCCACCACGGCTCGCTTGCGGCTCCACGCAGGAAAGAAATCACAGCTATGGCCGTTTTGCCTGAGCAGGGTAGCCATTCGGTTTTAAAAAGTCGCCCATAAGCCAGAGGCAAGCCGCACTTACCCGGCGCTCCTCCTGAGGTGCCTGGACGAAAGAGGGAAAGAGCAAATGGCGGCGCCCGCGAAGGCTTCGACCAGCTCCGGCCCCGCCCCCCTCGGTCGGAGCGTGAATAGGTGAGCGGCGGGGTAGGGACGGGGTTCCCTCGTCATGTGATGTTGGTGAGCCGTCCGTATCCGGAAGTGTGACGGCAGTGTGTGCGTCATGCTGGTCTCCGTTAAACATGCTATTTGTTTCGTTCAAAATTGGTGTCAGCTTTGCTTTTTTTTGGACTGCTACTGGATAAGAATAGCACTCAATATTTGGCACAGGGGTGATGCCAATTAGAAGCCCGTTCCTTGTTATTGTTTTGACAGAGCTGACTGGACTGGTTCAACAGCTCCTGCCAGCTCTTCCCCTGCTGCTGCTTTGAAAAGACCTAGAGAACCTGCGGACACGCCGACCCTCCAGGACCAGGCTTAAGGCGCCCTGTTTCTTCAGCTGAAAGCAAACTCTAAAACTCGCCTTGAACGGAAAAAACTGCAGTCTCACTAACGGGGCTGGGAGTGAAAACCGGAGGACACAGGAGACCCCAGGATTAGAGCTGGGTACCCCTGACTTTTTGTTTCCCCGCTCTCCAGCGCTGTCATGGAATCACATTAAAGAAGCCGTCGCTTTCCACCGCTTGGCAACCAAGCCTGCTGTCCTCTGGTGCTCGAGCCCCCTGGTGTTCAGCTACATTCCCAGGACGGCAGCTGGGTTCATTATTTAATTAGCTGTGTAATGGTAATGCTTGGAACC